TCGTAACTATCAGTCTCAGAATTACTCGTATATATACTATATACATCAGATCAAATACTCATGTCATGTCTGATATCGGCTAATGTATGCTCATGTATGTATGTACTGTACATGTCAAATGTATGTAGCACCTAATGTTACTGTAATCGCTACTTAGTACTGACTATGTAACCTGTATGTAACTCTTCCATCTATTTATACTACTACTAACTCCCCACTATACTATATACCTACCTACACTAATCTATACTACTACTACACCCACTATATACTTACCTCACCCTATATATATATATCACTACACTCATATAAATAACAGACGCTATACATGTATAGTAGGCTATGACAGTGTATAATAATAAATTAATATGAATATAAGTTATAACAACCACATACATACATACAGTACATACAATAACACACATATACATACATATATATATATATAATATATATATATATATATATAATATATATATATAACTGTATAATAATGATATACATTATTATATATACGTTATACATATATGTACGTATTTATGTATATAAATAATTATGCACATGTCACAAACACAAACACCCGCTGTGTGTATATATTGTCCGTAAGTAGTACCTCTCTTAAGTATTATGAATTGTTTCAAGTGTTCCTCCAAAGTTTAAGGGTTGAGAATGACGGCATTAAAACGTTTGGAAATCTGAAAGAGTAATGCTAGAACTGGCTAAAATGTAGGGCTGGAAGGACGATTAACAAATCTTTGAATGTAGGTCATTTTCCATTGGAAAAATAATTAAATATGTTCTGTAGGAAGCTCGTAAATCCCAAAACATTATCAAAATATTTGTTTTAATTTCAAACGTGGATTTCAGAGAAACAAACATTGTTGAAAATGAATTAAGTAACAAGTTCGTTGAGTTTTATTTTTTTTTTTTTTTTTTAGCAAATTTATCCATTACGTAAAAATATACCTAATGATATTGTATGGCAATTAACAGTAACTTTGTAATAATTGTTCGTAATATTTTTAAATTGTTTATAATAGATTTATCAATTACTTTATTATATCATCTACGGTTCATAATACATTATAATAGAATTCACGGTAACTTTATGACAACCTATGATATAATTTTATAATATTACACCTTAGTAGCCAAGCCAAGTTTAAAATTCTGATAACAGAAACATTCGCTTCTCTTAACTATGTCACTGATTTCAAACATGCTTACATATAATATGCAACCTTACAAGACTTTTGATGGTAAAGGCCAAAACATTCTGTGGGAAGTGTTTCATTAAATTTATAACAATTTTCGCTCTGCTATACAACGTCCATCTTGTCTTTCACATATACTAAGTATATGTATATCTGCATACACACAATACACAGACATATGTATGTATGTAAACATGCATCATGCGCATTTTAGCGCGCTCATGGTAAAGTCGAGCAAATCTGTAGGTGTCTTGATATAGAGAATGAAAATACAAGAAAATGTAAAATGTGCCTGTTTAATACAATATGTAACAAATATACAATCAATAGTTATATTCCCTTCACACATCTAAGCGTAGGAGGGGGTGGGTGGCTTGTAGGAAGGCTGAGGAGGTCCATAAGTGGCTTGTGGGGCGGGGTACTGAGCCTCTCCTTCGTAGGTGACATCAGCCACATAACCGGAGTCTCCGTTCACGTTGTAGGTGACCTTCTGCAGACGACCGTCGGGAAGAAGGACGTAGTAGGATCCCTGTGTGTGGTCGCCATCACGGGCTTCCTGGTGTCCGAAGTCGTTGCCAGATGCTGGGTCGTTGACGGCGTAGTTGAAGTCGTACTTTGCGGGTGCGTAAGAGGGAGTGGGAGCAGAGTAGCCATAGGTAGGAGGGCTATCTGGACGAGCGATGGCGACGACCACAAGGGCGGCCAGTGCGAATACCTGCCGAAAGTTACGTTTACATAATTATATTAATGCATTGGATTCAGATATGCAATCCTTATTATAGGAAATTATTTATTGCACATCTAATTAACTTGACTATCTAGACGCCAAGAGCATTGTTCTTCTGGTTAATCAGCATAAAAAATAATGAAAGTAAATATTCGGGCCATGGAATGAAATAACCGTATTATTCTCAGTGATACGCGAATGACACACACTCATACCTTGAATGCCATGTTGTCTTGATGAGACTGCAGGGAGACTGACGAAGACAGAAAGAATCCTTCCATTTATACAAAAGTCGAAGAAAATACTCCACCCATGTTGATGACGTCAGGAAATGCCGTCCCAGCAAGTTAACCTTGATTCTTTTTTCAAGTTTTCCCCTCCAGCAAAATTAGAGAAAATGTAAAATGTAACTTTAGCGTAAAGAGCTACGTGGAAGTTTTTTGTTTTTTTTTTTTTTTTTTTTTTGTCAATGTTACTTTATCCTATGGAGATGTACATGGATCTATACGAATACAATATTGATAACGGAATCTACGTAAGTAGGTTTTCGTTTGCTAAGTTTAGGGGAGAAAGCTGCAAGCATCTGTAAATTTGAGACTGAATAACTGTATGAAATTGGGCGGCATTTAGTACTATCGAATATTTTAAGCAGTCAACCATTAAATTTACGTTGTATTGCATGGTTATCCGGGAACGTCTGGGTGACTAGTGATCGTTATGAAATGGTGAATACGATATGATCGACGTGGTGGTTTCATGATTTTAGTGACTACGTACGTAATCAGTAATATATTTCTTAACATGATTACGAATGCTATTATTACAGCGCTGTTAATTGACGCCTGGGAACAATTTACCACTCTTCAGTGGCTACCCATTTAAAAATGGCCAGTCTTAAGTAGGAAAAGCATATGCTCGGTTATGGATTCCCTTAAAGATATAGAGAACATTAATCCCATTTTGATATATAGTCCTCCAAAACCTTGACCTACTCCAACCTACAAAGACGACTTTGCTACTTACATATTTATTACCGGGTCGCGCCAATATGGGAAAGCTCCACATTGAGAATAGTACCCAATGTAGATGTTATCTTTGGTTTGAAGGACCAGGTTAGAGATATGTATTCAGAACAATTAAAAGCAATCACTATTAACAATATGAACTTTCAGACAGTGAACAGGAAGTTTGCAATGAAGACTATGGTGCATGAAGTAAAATTTGACGCTCAGGTAAATTTTAATCCTTTGTTTCTTGAAGGTAAACATGAGTTTAGAATGTACTGTGGATGACATTTCTCAGATTTTCTTAGCATATTTACACAAACACATATTTCTACAGTATATATATGCGTATAAATACGTGTGCACACCCACACACACAAAAGCATCTGTATGTGTGCGTGTGTATAAATATATGTATATATATATTTGCGTTTGTGTATGTGTGTGTATATATATATATATATATATATATATACATATATATATATATATATATATATATACATATATATATATATATATATATATATATATATATATATATATATATATATATATATATATATATATATATATACGTATATATGTGATCGTATATCAGTCTGAATTTGTATATATATATATAATCATATATCTATGTATGTCTGTATGTATGTATGTATGTATGTATGTATGTATGTATGTATGTATGTATCTATCTATCTATCTATTTATCTATCTATCTATCTATCTATCTATCTATCTATCTATCTATCTATCTATATATATATATATATATACTCATAAATACGTATACCTGTATGTCGGTATGAGTGTATATCAAGAAAATTAATATGAATATAGTTATATAACACACATACATACATACATACATACATACATACATACATATATATATATATATATATATATATATATATATATATATATATATATATAACTGTATATAATGATATACATTATATATACGTATATACATATATATACGTATTTATGTATACACATAATTATATATATATGTCACAAACACCCACTGTGTGTATATATAGTCTGTAGGGAGGACCTCTCTTAAGTATTATGAATTGTTTCAAGTGTTCATCCAAAGTTTAAGGGTTGAGAATGACGGCATTAAACGTTTGGAAATCTGAAAGAGTAATGCTAGAACTGGCTAAAATGTAGGGCTGGAAGGACGATTAACAAATCTTTTGAATGTAGGTCATTTTCCATTGGAAAAATAATTAAATATGTTCTGTAGGAAGCTCGTAAATCCCAAAACATTATCAAAATATTTGTTTCAGTTTCAAACGAGGATTTTAGAGAAAACAAACATTGTTGAAAATGAATTAAGTAACAAGTTCGTTGAGGTTCTTTTCTAGCAAGTTTATCCATTACATACATATAATGATATTGTATGGCAATTAACAGTAACTTTGTAATAATTGTTCGTAATATTATTTTTTAATTTATAATAGATTTATCAATTACTTTATTATATCATCTACGGTTCATAATACATTATAATAAAATTCACGATAACTTTATGACAACCTTTGATATAATTTATAATATTACACCTTAGTAGCCAAGCCAAGTTTAAAATTCTGATAACAGAAACATTCGCTTCTCTTAACTATGTCACTGATTTCAAACATGCTTACATATAATATGAAATCTTACAAGACTTTTGATGGTAAGGCCAAAACATTCTGTGGGAAGTGTTTCATTAAATTTATAACAATTTTCGCTCTGCTATACAACGTCCATCTTGTCTTTCACATATACTAAGTATGTGTATATCTGCATACACACAATACACAGACATATGTATGTATGTAAACATGCATCATGCGCATTTTAGCGCGCTCATGGTAAAGTCGAGCAAATCTGTAGGTGTCTGGATATAGCGAATGAAAATGCAAGAAAATGTAAAATGTGCCTGTTTAATACAATATGTAACAAATATACAATCAATAGTTATTTTCCCTTCACACATCTAAGCGTAGGAGGGGGTGGGTGGCTTGTAGGAAGGCTGAGGAGGTCCATAAGTGGCTTGTGGGCGGGGTACTGAGCCTCTCCTTCGTAGGTGACATCAGCCACAACCGGAGTCGCCGTTGACAGTGTAGGTGACCTTCTGCAGACGACCGTCGGGAAGAAGGACGTAGTAGGATCCCTGTGTGTGGTCGCCATCACGGGCTTCCTGGTGTCCGAAGTCGTTGCCAGATGGTGGGTCGTTGACGGCGTAGTTGAAGTCGTACTTTGCGGGTGCATAAGAGGGTGTGGGAGCAGAGTAGCCATAGGTAGGCGGGCTATCTGGACGGGCGATGGCGACGACCACAAGGGCGGCCAGTGCGAATACCTGCCGAAAGTTACGTTTACATAATTATATTAATGCATCGGATTCAGATATGCAATCCATATTATAGAAGGTTATTTATTGCATATCTAATAATGTATAAATATAGCTTGACTCTCATACCGGAAAGAGACTGCAACATATGTAAATTAGAAAAGCTCCCTTACTTAACTTTAGCACTAAGTATCATCCTCTCCTTTTCAGAGCGAATATTCAGCCTAATATTTAGTTTGAACAATGTCTGGAGTCACAAGCATTGTTTCTTCTGGATAATCAAAAACAGACATAAAAAATAATGAAAGTAAATAATTGAGCCACGGAATGAAATAACCGTATTATTCTCAGTGATACGCGAATGACACACAAACAAACCTTGAATGCCATGTTGTCTTGATGAGACTGCAGGGAGACTGACGAAGACAGAAAGAGTTCTGCCTTTTATACAAATGTCCAAGAAAAAACTCCACCCATGTGATGACGTCAGGAAATGCCGTCCCAGCAGGTTAACCTTGATTCTTTTTTCAAGTTTTCCCCTCTAGCGAAATTACAGAAAATGTAAAATGTAACTTTAGCGTAAAGAACTACGTGGAAGTTTTTTTTTTTTTTTTTTTTTTTTTTTTTTTTTTTGTCAATGTTACTTTATCCTATGGGGATGTACATGGATCTATACGAATAAAGTATTGATAACGGAATCTACGTAAGTAGGTTTTCGTTTGCTAAGTTTAGGGGAGAAAGCTGCAAGCATCTGTAAATTTGAGACGGAATAACTGGTGTATGAAATTGGGCGGCATTTAGTACTATCGAATATTTTAAGCAGTCAACCATTAGATTTACGGTGTATTGCATGGTTATCCGGGAACGTCTGGGTGACTGGTGATCGTTATGAAATGGTGAATACGATATGATCGACGTGGTGGTTTCATGATTTTAGTGACTACGTACGTAATCAGTAATATATTTCTTAACATGATTACGAATGCTATTAGTAGCGCTGTTAATTGACGACTGGGAACAATTACCATGGAAGATTCATTGTGAACTTCATTCTTATAGGTTGGAGCAATCCCAGTGCTCCAGTTTTTAATTTGCTGATGAATTCTAATCCAAGACTGTACTCTTCAGTGGCTACCCATATAAAAATGGCCAGTCTTAGTAGGAAAAGCATATGCTCGGTTATGGATTTCCCTTAAAGATAAAGAGAACATTAATCACATTTTGATATATAGTCCTCCAAAAATCTTGACCTACTCCAACCTACAAAGACGAATTTGCTACTTACATATTTATTACCGGTCGCGCCGATATGGGAAAGCTCCACATTGAGAGTAGTACCCAATGTAGATGTTGCCTTTGGTTTGAAGGACCAGGTGGAGATATGTATTCAGAACAATTAAAAGCAATCACTATTAACAATATGAACTTTCAAACAGTGAACAGGGAGTTTGCAATGAACGCTATGGTGCATGAAGTAAAATGTGACGCTTACGTAAATTTTAATCCTTAAAGGTAAACATGAGTAGAATGTAATGTGGATAACATTTCTCGATTTTTTACACATATTTATACAAACCCATATATTTACAGTATATATATATATATATATATATATATATATACATATATAAATATGTGTGCATATCCACATACACACATGAAAGCATCTGTACGTGTGTGCGTGTGTGTATACATACATACATAATATATATGTATATCTATATCTATATCTATATCTATATATATCTATCTATCTATCTATCTATCTATCTATCTATCTATCTATATATATATGTATATATATGTTTGTGTACATGTGTGTGTGTGTGTGTGTGTGTGTATCTCTCTCTCTCTCTCTCTCTCTCTCTCTCTCTCTCTCTCTCTCTCTCTCTCTCTCTCTCTTCTATTATATATATATATATATATATATATACATATATAATCGTATATCAGTCTATATATATATATATATATATATATATATATATATATACATATATAATCATATATCTATGTATCTATATATGTATTCATATGCATACGCACACACACAAACGCACACATATATTTATACATTCATGTATGTCTATATGAGTGTATATTAATATGGTAAAGGCAAAACATTCTGTGGGAAGTGTTACATTTTAAACATTTTTCGCTCTGCTATGCAACGTCCATCTTGTCTTTCACATATACTAACCATATGTATACATACATATATACAACACACATATGTATGTATATAAACATGCATCATATGCATTATAGCGCGCTCATGGTAAAGTCGAAATAGACGTTTCTGGGTGTTTTACATTTCCACGCAAAGCAAATCTGTAGGCGTTTGGATATAGAGAATGAAAATGCAAGAAAATGTTAAATGTGCCTGTTTAATACAATATGCAATAAATATACAATCAAAGTTATTTTCCCTTCACATATTTAAGCGTAGGAGGGGTGGGTGGCTTGTAGGAAGGCTGAGGAGGTCCATAAGTGGCTTGTGGGGCGGGGTACTGAGCCTCTCCCTCGTAGGTCACATCAGCCACATAACCGGAGTCTCCGTTGACGTGTAGGTGACCTTCTGCAGACGACCGTCGGGAAGAAGGACGTAGTAGGATCCCTGTGTGTGGTCGCCATCACGGGCTTCCTGGTGTCCGAAGTCGTTGCCAGATGGTGGGGTCGTTGACGGCGTAGTTGAAGTCGTACTTTGCGGGTGCGTAAGAAGGAGTGGGAGCAGAGTAGCCATAGGTAGGAGGGCTATCTGGACGGGCGGTGGCGACGACCAGAAGGCGGCCAGTGCGAATACCTGCCGAAAGTTACGTTTACATAATTATATTAATGCATTGGATTCAGATATGCAATCCATATTATAGAAGGTTATTTATTGCATATCTAATAATGTATAAATATAGCTTGACTCTCATACCGGAAAGAGACTGCAACATATGTAAATTAGAAAAGCACCCTTACTTAACTTTAGCACTATCATCCTCTCCTTTTCAGAGCGAATATTCAGCCTAATATTAAGTTTGAACAATGTCTGGAGTTACTGGCATTGTTTCTTCCGGATAATCAAAAACAGACATAAAAAATAATGAAAGTAAATAATTGAGCCACGGAATGAAATAACCGTATTATTCTCAGTGATACGCGAATGACACACACTCATACCTTGAATGCCATGTTGTCTTGATGAGACTGCAGGGAGACTGACGAAGGCAGAAAGAGTTCTACCTTTTATACAAATATCCAAGAAAAAACTCCACCCATGTGATGACGTCAGGAAATGCCGTCCCAGCAGGTTAACCTTGATTCTTTTTTCAAGTTTTCCCTCTAGCGAAATTACAGAGAATGTAAAAATGTAACTTTAGCGTAAAAGAGCTACGTGGAAGTTTTTTTTTTTTTTTGTTTTTTTTTTTTTGTCAATGTTACTTTATCCTATGGAGATGTACATGGATCTATACCAATAAAGTAATGATAACGGAATCTGCGTAAGTAGGTTTTCGTTTGCTAAGTTTAGGGGAGAAAGCTGCAAGCATCTGTAAATTTGAGACTTGAAATAACTGTATGAAATTGGGCGGCATTTAGTACTATCGAATATGTTAAACAGTCAACCATTAAATTTACGGTGTATTGCATGGTTATCCGGGAACGTCTGGGTGACTGGCGATCGTTATGAAATGGTGAATACAATATGATCGACGTGGTGGTTTCATGATTTTAGTGACTACGTACGTAATCAGTAATATATTTCTTAACATGATTACGAATGCTATTAGTATGCTGTTAATTGACGACTGGGAACAATTTACCATGGAAGATTCATTGTGAACTTCATTCTTAAAGGCTGGAGCAATCCCAGTGTTGCCAGTTTTTAATTTGCTGATGAATTCTAATCCAAGACTGTACTCTTCAGTCGTTACCTATATCAAAATGTCCAGTCTTAAGTAGGAAAAGCATATGCTCGGTTATGGATTCCCCTTTAAGATATAGAGAACATTAATCATATTTTGATATAATACTCCAAATACAAGACGACTTTGCTACCAATGCAGATGTTGCCTTTGGTTTCAAGGACCACGTGGAAGATATGTATTCAGAACAATTAAAAGCAATCACTATTAACAGAATATGAACCTTTCAGACAATGAACCGGTAAACATGAGTTAAGAATGTACTGTGGATGACATTTCTAAGATTTTCTTAACATATATACACAAAAGCATATATATACAGTATATATATGCGTATAAATACGTGTGCACACCACACACCACATAAATAGCATCTGTATGTGTGCGTGGTGTATATAATATATGATATATATAATATTTGCGTTTGTGTATGGTGTGTGTGTGTGGGATATATTATATATATCTATATATATAATATATATATATATATTATATATATATATATACGTATATATATATGATCGTATATCAAGTCTGAATTTATATATATACATATATATATATATATATATATATATATATATATAATATATATATAATCATATATCTATGTATCTATCTATCTATATATTCATATACATACGTATACCTGTATGTCGGTATAAGTGTATATTAATAAAATTTATGTGAATATAGTTATAAACACACACATACACATAGTTATGTATATAACTGTATAAATATGATATACATTATCATATATAAGTATATACATATATATATAACGTATTTTATGTATATACATATTAAAGCACATGTCAAAAACACCACTGTGGTGTATATAACGCGTCATAATAGGACGGCTCTCTTAAGTAATTAATGAAATTGTTTTTCAAAGTGTTCATACCAAAGTTTAAGGGTTGAGATGACGGGGCACTTAAACGGTTTTGGAAATCTGAAAGGGGAGTAATGCTAAGAAACCTGGCTNTTTTTTGTGTTTTTTTTTTTTTGTTTTTTGTAATGTTGTTTTGGTGTGTTTAATTTTTTGTTTTTATATCAATGTTATAAAAAAAGAACGTGGGAAAAACACGGGCCTCCAGCAGGGTTGACGCGTCGCCCCATGGGGGAGTTTGGGGCAAAGGGGGGGGTGGGAGGGGTTGGGGTGAAAGGGAGGGCGAGAGGGGAAAGGGTGGAGGGGAAGAGGGGAAAGGGTGGGAGGAGAAGGGGAGAGGAAAGGGTGGAGGTTAGGTGGGATAAGAGGGGGGAGGAAGGGGAAGGATAGGGAGATAGAGGCGGAGGGGTTCGGAGGGAAATGGGGGAAGAGACAGGGTTGACCGTATGGTGGGAGGGAGTGGGGTTGGGTGGGGAGGGGAGAGGTGGTAAGTTAAGGTGGGAGTGGGGGAGAAGGGGGAGGGGGAGAGAAAGGGGAGGGAGAGGGAGGGAGGGATTAGGTGGGAGGGAGGGAGGAATGGGAGTGAAAGGGGAGAAAAGGGGAA